TCGATACCTTTCAGCTTTGGCACTGGTCATCGCCAAGGCTGCGTTTTGTCCCCTGTCCCATTTGTGTTGTACATGGATAGAATAGTCAGTTGCAGTCGGGGCCAGGAATGTGTTAACGTAGGAGATGTGGAGACGATAAGGTTGCTGTTGGCATTTTCGGAAACGGATCTTTAGCGATCTCTGGGAAGATTCGCAGCCGAGTACAATTTGACCTGCATGCCTGTGAATGTGCCTAAAACGAAAAACCTAATGGTTTTTGCTTCCCCCTGCTTCCTGTTGCGCTCTGCAGCTAAACGGAGAAGTTGAAGGGTGGAGAAATTCGTATCTTATGATGGTGGTTATTATTTTATGAACAATGAGAAGAGGAGATCGATCAGTGAATTAGAATGGTCATGCATGAACTCCCCCGAGTCGTTGTGATTAAAGCAGAGTTAAATCTGAAGACAAAGCTCTCTGTGTTCAGGTTGATCTTCATTTTGATGATTACCTACCGTCATCAGTCATTGGCCATGCCTGAAAATCTTCATCCCCGGGTACAGGCGGCTGAAATGTGCTCTCTGGGACGAATCGCGAGGTTCACGCATCTGGACATGGTCTGGGCTACAGGTATCTGAGAGAACTTTGGTTAAAAGCCGCTGCTTCTTCAGAAGTCACAGCTGCGATGGTTTGGGCACGTCTTGCTAGTGAATCCAGAAGGGAAAGAGGAACAGCGACTCTGCCGAACTGACCGCCGAGGTACCTGGAGATGACCAAAAATAATCTGTAACAAGTGTTTAAAAAGGACTCTGCTACAGGCTCGGGTTTTCTTCTGCTGAGGCTCAGACTCAGACGCTTTCACAGGAGTGGAATGTTGGATATACTGTCTGACGCTTCTGCCTCAGCGACTCAAAAGGATAGACGGCCATCGAAACTGAGTGCTGGGGTTGCCACGCAACAGCTAAGCGGTGACGTGTCTCCTTCAAAAGTCATGATACGGTAGCAACAGCCTTGTTTATATGCACGCTATGGCATCACACTGTTTAACAGGTGCGTAGTTTCATGTTAGTAAGAAGAGACCAGATTTATGATCCCATTCATCTGTGGCTTTTCATGTGGCGTTCGTTTCCCTCAGGGCTTTTGGAAAAACTCCAAGTCGAGCCCAGTAAAGAAACTGAAAGCGAGTCAGGCGGCTCCATGACCCTCAGCTGACCACGCATCAGGACCTGATAAATAAAAATGAC